TGGTCACCGAAGGAGCCCGCTACACGCTCAAGGAGTTCCAGCAGCAGGTGGCCGAGGGCAAGGATCCATTCTATGCGCGCACAGAAATGGCCGATGACAAGGGTGCGCCGAAACCGACGACCGATCCCAGTGGTGAGACCGTGGGCGCCGTGGCCATGGATGCCACGGGCCAAATTGTGGTGGGCACCTCCACTGGTGGCATCACTGGCAAGTGGCCAGGTCGCATCGGTGACACTCCCATCCTGGGCAGCGGCACCTATGCGGACAACTATCGCGGTGGCGTCTCAACCACCGGACACGGTGAGACCCTCATGCGATACAATCTTGCCCAGCGCATTCTGGCCGCCATGGAGTACAAGGAGCTGTCCGCTCAGGAGGCCGCCGACAAGGAGTGCCGGGAGATGACCAAACGGCTGGGTGGCACTGGTGGCGCCATTGTCGTCGGCCACTCCGGTGACCTGGGCATTAGTTTTACCTCGCGTCGCATGGCCTGGGGATATGTCCAGGATGGCACCATCTTCTACGGCATCGAGGGTCAGGTGGTGCATCAGGAGCCATTTACAGTACCCACTTAGGCACTCAGTCTGGTGGGGGCATCTTATAAAAGCATATTACTAATTGCACAAAACTCCTTAATAATCTAGTTTACAATTGCAAAAATTAGACTGTTTTTAATGTTAAAAAAAATGGATGTATACATTTAATAAAGTCGCTTTTCGATTTATTTACAATATTTTTAGGACTTTAAGCATTTAAGTTTCTTTCTTATTTACTTAATTAGTATTGGGTATTGTATATCCTTAAATTGATGAACCTTTTCTTCTGACGGCTCAAAACTATTATCGAAAATGGAAATTATCTTATATTATTGTTCTTTATATTTTTTTGTATGTATGTATTATTGAATTTTATATTGAAATTCATATTTTTAAACAAAGCATTCATAGCATTCATAACGTTAATTACACATAATTTTTCTCATTCCTACATTAATTACATGTAATATATGAGGAATTGCTCATTTAATTAGAGTCATTGCTCGTTTTATTTTGGAATATGACCTGATGTTTTTTCGACTAACCTTATGAAAATCACCTAACTCTACCATAGAGCTCACAGTTAGTAAAATCCTTCCAGGACGACAAAGATAATTTACAATCCTGATCCTTTCATGATTCTAACACATCTCAGTCTAAAGAAGCTTTTTCCAACTTAATATAACTCATCTTATCTCCGACATATACATACATGTATAGATATATTTAAAAAGATTTTTTATCGTAATCATTTTTGTTTTTCTTATCAAGCATTAATAAGTTCCTTTTATGACATTTTTAGATGGCGGGACGCAATTTTAAAACATTTAAACATGTATTAAATGCCTTCATAAATTGAAAATACTGTTCGTCATGCTCCCGGATATTTCCATAAGTCTCCACCAATATGAATAGCGGATAGCGAATAGCATCGTTCTTAAGTTTGTTTTCAACCGTCTTCAGGAATATGTATTGTAATATAATTTTATTGGAATTCTAAAGGTATATCAGTGGAAGCTTATCACGACTCCCGTGGCTGTTTGGGTCACCTTCTAGTCCTGCTCCTCCTCTTCCTCGTCGAGATCTTCTAGCAGCGGCTGGTCACCCGATGGTCCGCCAGCTGGTCTTGCAGCAGCTCTCGTGGAAGCAAATTCCGTAGCACCCGATGATGGTGCTCCCTCAGTCCCTGCAGCTCCTTCATCGGCCGCCTTGCCACGTCGGAATATCTTGCAGAAGATCTTCTTCACAAAGTTCTTGGGCGCCGACGTCTGGCGACCCACAATGATCATCTTGGTGGCCACACTGTGGATGGGTCCAAAGGCCAGGGCCACCACTGTGCAGGCCAGACAGATCACATTGTACGGCATGCTGAAATCCGGCGTGGGCAGCGAGACAATCAGCGCCTCCGTATGCAAACTGAGCACATAGCTCGGTCGTGTGGCGTTGAACGAATGCTCGAAGAGATGTCCCTCCGCCGGCAGAGCCGTGTAGTTCCTGCCCATCGGCAGTTGGCTGGACACAATGGCGGCCCCAATGTAGTGGCCATGGTTCGCATCAGGCGGATACTCCAGCCACTTGAGCAGCAGATAATCCACATCGATGGTTATCAGGGCGGAAGTCTGACCAGGCAGCATGAACCCAATCTCCAGGTGGGAGGGCAGTTCCCTCTGCTTTCCGGGCGTATAGTGGAGCAGCTTGAAGGGCAGTCGCTGGCGTCCGTATTCGTTAAGACGATGCGGCTTTCTTCGGATGGAGAGTGTGTGCAAATAGGCGTGCACATACCATGGTATCACCTCCTGCACCATAATGGGCAGGGCATCGTAGTGCGAGTTGGTCACCTCCGTGACAATCCTGCCCCGCTCCTGGCCATGCCCCAAAAGGTATCGATGAACTGTCACTGGCGGCATGACTGGCTTTGCCAGATTGCGCCGACGATTCTCGCTCTTCGGCGACAGCCATGCCACATTGAACAGCCTCTCGCCCGCATCCTTGAACTGCTCGTGCATATCGTACACGGAATAGACGACGGTGTGGCCACCGCGAGTGCTCTTCACCTCGTGCATGGGCGCCGGAACCAGTTGGAAGCGCTCGCCTTGCTCGTTGCGCTGCACATAGATCTTTGAACTCTGGGCCAGCTCACAGAAGCCATTCAGACCCATGCCGAAAAGTCGACGCAGCGAGAAGTCATTGTTGCTTAGCTCGAAGAGGCGGAGATCGTAGACCAAGTTGGCCGTTTGGGTCAGCTCGACGATGCAGTTGTCCTCGTCGTGATCCTCGCACAGCACACGCACCTTCAGGCCCAGCGAATGGTACTTGGTGTTGTGAACGTGTCCGGAATTGAGGAGTGATGCAAAGCCGGATGCACTGCCGCATGGCAGTAGCTTCTTCCACGGAGTCAGATTCTCCGTGCACACAATCTCACGCGGCAGTGTCGAGTATCTCACGAACTTTCGGCCATTGGCGGGCATAAATTGTGGACGAATCAGGTGCCTCGGTGCAATACTATTTGTGTTGTCCACGAAATTCAGAGAGGCACACAGAACGCCGGAGAAGACATTGGCCAGCTCCTTCCATTGGCGGTCCACTTCGTCATTGGTCAGATTGGAGCCGCTAAACCACGCCCACATCTCCGCACCGCTGGTGGCCTCTACAATGGGATAGCCCCACGTCTCGTAGCGCCACAGTCCCTGGGTCAGCCCAATGTGCAGTTCCTTGACCGCAAACTGCTGCAACAGCTCTGCAATCACGCGGGGCGTCAGTTGGGTGTGGTAAACTGAAAGAGCAGATGGGAAATTAGTTGAGATCTCTCCTGCACCTAGGTAGATATTTATATATTATAGATCTACTTTTAGACTTGTAAAAGGGTAATTTCATAAATTAAAATTACATTAAAACAAAACCTTTTTCAATGTATACCGCTAGGAAATAAACATATCTTCGTATCTAAAAATCTTAATTTGGGATCACCAAACTCTTTGTTTAGTAAATCATAAAACTAGGAGGGTTAAGAAATGGTAATGTTCTGTGCAGTGAAAGGTAAGTTTTGGGTTTATTTTCTAAAAATTGTCAGAAACTTGGATAGCTAACGTTAAAATACAAAAACCAAAACATTAAGAGGTCTGCCATTTAGAAATCTTCATTAATTTGGTGGTGGTGTGCATCGCAAGTTTGGTTTTGGGTACACCTATCAGAAAAAATTAAGAACCTTTAAAATGCAAAAAGAAATGCAAAGCTAACCCATTGCTACAATAGCTAGTAAGTAAATAAAATTCCATGTAGCGAGTGTGACCTGTATTTTAGTAATACCGGCAGGCGATCCCCGCCCACTGGAATGCAATTATGGGAAAACGGGGAAACTCACGGTTATCCTTCTCCCCGTAGTGCCAGCGCGTGGTGAACTGGAAATAGGTGTTGACATGGTCGCCGGACAGTGGGCGAACCACTAGCTCCTCATGGAATCGTTCATCATCCCTGCCCAAAGGAGAACCGGCATTAAATGCGGCCAGCAGCAACAAGACAAACGCCCTCGGAAACATCCTGGCCCATCGGTTTACTTCCAGTTCCTTCGCCTGCAATTTGATTCCGTTCTACGGATGTCCTATGTTTAAATGTTTTTTAAGGGTAAAATAAAATTTAATTAACAACAACAGTGTTACTATATGTTATCGATATCGGGTGATGTCTATCGACAGTGTGACCGCGGAATTTTTTATGAAATATACCATCCGGCACTTTAACTGCCATTTTTATTTATTTGGTATATTTGAGAATATGCTAAAATATACCACAAATATTCCAAACGGTCTCACCATAATGACAGGTGAGTGTCGCCGCTAATTTAGCGATGTCGCATCATTTTAAAGAGACCGTTTGTCACATAGCATATACACACACCTATCGGTAGATTTTCGTGCCGTCTCTAATTGTTTTTGTTGTGGCCACCTGTTTCGCCAAAAGTTGGTTGAATTTAAAATAAAGTTGATTAAAGCTGGACTGGGTTAAAAAAAATAAAAACGTGGGATTCGAAACCGCAATATTTGAAAAAATGAAACAATAGGGTTTTCCTTGAAGTAAAACACTAAAAAAATTACACCAAAGAAAAAAATAAATAAAAAAGCTAAGTCGGTCTATTCTTCAAAAATTTTAAGTACTCAACTTAAACTTTTTTTAAATCACTTGGATTTTTGAGTGAAAATAACGACACTGCTTCAGTAAGTGCTAAAATTTTTTCCTAGATGTTTACCACGGTGCTGATTAACTTGGAGTGTGTGTTTTGTGCTATTCAAATATAAAGTGATAAAGTGGCTTGCTTGAAAACAGTGAAACCCCCTGCGAAAAAACTTTTTGCAGAGATGTCTGCTTTTTAAATTAAACTTTTTAAAAAACGTATTAGAGTTCCATTTATTTAATTATATGTAGATTTTAAAAAATTTTTCTTTTGCTTATAAAAGGAAAGGCTTGTAATTTGTACATTAATGTTTATTTTTATGAGATCGGCAACTGAGACACTTGGCTCTTCTACGCAGCCTAGAATACATTATTTTCTTAGTTGTTCATAGCTTTTGAAAATAATACAACATTTCACAGTTTTCAAAATATATATAGGAGATTCTTATTTTGCTTAAGAAAAGCATAGTTCAGTCTTATATGTAAGTAAATACATTTCATTAGAATTGGGTCATTTTGTTTTTGCAACTTCTTAGAAGTTATTATTATTAATCCCACCAATGCAAAATATCTCGCTTGTGGAAAAAGTCGCTGCATCCATTATTTAGTGGCTCGGGGTCCTATAAGAACAATTTCATTTTAATTTAGAATATATTACAAGGCTTTCAAATACAACTTACACGTAATCGACGTTTTCGAAAAGGATTTTCCTCGGATTTTTTTCCCAAATTCCTTTCTTTTGCGTTGCAATGTCCGTTTGCAATTATCGTAGGAAATATAGAACATGAATAAAACAGTAAGATAACATGGCGTTCTTCTGATTTTGATTTATAAATTTATAAATAAACACAGTAACTGTAGACAAAAATGAAAAATCAATGAAACCGAAATATATGCAACTTAGATGGCAAAAATATAACATGTTTTGAATAGTAGGTATATATTTTGACAATTTTTCTTTTTTTTTAGACAATTGTTTAATTCAACTCTAATTGTATACCTTTCCAGAGGCTATTATGATTTTAGTCGGAAGTTTGAAACTTAGTGAAGGAGACATTTCTGACCCCATTATGAACATAATGATTTTTTGATTTTTATAATTTCAAATTAAATTGTTTATTTAGTACGACTACTATATTATATAGCTGCCATTAAAACTATAGCAAAATATATGATAATCTAAATACAAATGTTTTTGCCAAATGTCTACTTACTCGGCCATTACTTCGTTGAAAATTTGTTTCAAATCTGTGTTAGTGAGCTTGCACCTGTTCTTGATTTCTTCGATAGCAATGATTTTCTTTATCTCGATATCCTGGGCTCCATGGCTATGGCGGAGATGGTCCTCACAGGAGAAAACACGTGTTTCATCCTCCGATAAATAGACTCGCGCTTTGCAGCTCTTGATGCGGCACGTGTAGGTTGTGTCCCCATTTATAAACTTCTTGTTTTTGCAATACAACTGATTGTCGTCGCAAGAGTAAATAAGTCTCGAGCCTTGGCGCGATCCAACTTGAAATGTAAAGTTAATATCACTGTAGTTTATTTTCGTATTCTCAAACAAGTCGGATCGCACGGATAGCATAGTTTTTTCATAGATGAAGTGCCGAACTGTGGCAGAGAATCTGAAATTAAAAAAAAAAAATACATGTTTTAGACTCACACAGCTGTTTTCTTAAATGGGTTTGTGTCCGCTCTGAAGCGTCATCTGGAATTTGTGGGGTCTAGTTCGTATATGTACATATAGTATATATATTTAAACAACAACACACTTCAATCTAATAATTAAGAGTAAACACAAGCAGAGAATGTGAAATTTATAACAATCGTATGGCCTCAAATTTTGAATTAAAAAAAAGCAGCCCAGCTGTTTTGTCCATTTGGTTTTAGTCTGTGGTGCACAAAAATCTGGTATTTTTTTCTAGCATTGTAATATGCATGTTTTCTTTTGTTTTTCATTACTACAATTTTGACTCTTTGTGTTATTAGGGTTATTCTTTTAGAAAACTAGACCACTGCACTTAGTTATAGAGCAGTAAACGCAATGGAGCACTGCAATTGAGGCAACCACGCTAAGCTGATTTCCCCACATGGGTTTCGGTCTGGGATTTGTGGTATTTTCGCCGAACATACCGCAACGCGTTAGGGCACATTTAGCGTGGGGCGGCGAGCATATTATAGCGACGCACCACGGTCACGCTGCTCAAAGTGAAACGGCCAAACGAAGAAGACGTATCGTGTGTGCTCAGACTTGTGCTCTCAGAATTTTGGTCATCTACATTCACCTCTCTGGTACCGATACTACTCACATTTAATAATAATAATAATAATGCAGTCGACGACTTAACGCAACGCAAAGCAAACGTTTTTATTATTTTTTTTTTTTATTGTAATTTGGAGCAAGCAAGATCTTTAGCGAGCCAAATAAATAAATGAAATGCAGCCGCCGCCGCCGCACACCATGATATGCAGATTAATTTAAACAAAAAAAAATTACAAAAATACTGGGGGTTTTCCAAGATATTTGACACATTTTCTTACAACTTTTATTCCTGATCTCGTTTTTTTCCGTTAATTTACCTTTTGGCTAGTCATATATACAAGCATATATATGTACATATATAAATGCACATGAAAATTCGCGGAACGGAACACACTATAGAAACAGCAACAACAACAACTACTACAACGAACAGCGACGACGTCGAAGGAAAGATTTTTACTCGCGTCGCGGTATACTTCAACTGTTTTTGAACTTTTATTGCGTGTTTGCTGCTGCGACAAAACTCGCGCGCGGCGCCACAAAGCGGAGAAACGGCAAGAAACGTGTGTGTGGCGGAGAGCATGCGCTCTCTCGCCCGTATATGTATATGGTATGTGGTGCGGTGGTGTGCGTGTGGTCGGTCGGTACGCGCGGTCTTCAGTTGCGCCGCCCGTTTCGCTCGCGTTTATCGCGACTCACACACTGAAGGCGGGCTACAAGCGCTGCCATTGCCAATGCCATAGTGTTTCGGTTGTTCGCCGCGTTTCGCTCGCCTCGCTCTCGTCGCCAGCGAGCCCAATTCGCCGCTCGCTTGCTTGCTCCAAATTTAGACGAGACAACCCTCTTTCCCCCCGAAAACCCCCCTCATTTTTCATTGTCTTCAGTTTAGAGTAAAAGGACAACAACAAACACAAATCACAAGCAATCAACTAAGAAATAAATCAAAGAAAAGTGTGTTGAAATTGTTCATAAAAAGATAGATTCTAAATCTGAATCGAAAACGAAAACCAGCAAAGAGAGAGCAGCGAAAAGTTAACAGCGAATTCAGCGGCAGAAGCAGAGCAGCGGAGCACAAGTGCAAGCGAGACGGCAGCCGAGCTCCGCTGCAAGGCAACGGGATAGAAAGAGATAGCGCGCAGCAACAGAGAGAGAGGGCGAGAGCGAACGAGAGAGAGCAGCAGCAGCGTCGGCCGCCACAGCAACAAAGCCACAAAAGAGAGCTGGAGAGAGAGAGAGGGGGAGAGAACTAGACGACGCGACGACCTACTACAAAAAAGGTGATATTTTTTTCATTTCATTCTTTTTACTTTTTGAATTTTCTTTCTTTACCCCCCTTCGATTTTCGTTTTAGTTGTATTTTGTGGTATATCTTAGTTAATACATCTATTGTACGCCTAGTTTAGTTTTAAGTGAAAATCGAACATCGAAAAAATCGCAAAGCAAATAATGTAACTTGCTCTCTTTCTCTCTCCCCCCTCGCACACTTCCTCTAGCTCTCTCGCTCTCGCTCACATTTCATAACTCGTTTCGCATAAATTTCATCCTCCATTTATTATTTAACTCATTGTTTTTCTTTCGCTTCATTGAGACTCAAAATTTTTAAAATTCCAATCAAATCAAATCATTACGAATTTCGATTTGCAGCTTTGTAGCTCACTTTCATTGAAACCACAAAGAAAAATTGAGAGAGAGTGTGACCACTTAACAGTAACGAGGGCTGTTATTAACATTTCAGCGGTGCGTTAAAAAAACCAATAAACAATAACCAAAAAAAATAGAGAGTTGCTAAAAACCAAACAAAAAATGTCTGCATTTTTCAATACTTTCGAGTGTGTTTTGTGGGCGGGCTGACGTCACGCGGGGCTGCTTCTTTTTCTCCTAGTTACTTTCGATGGACAAAGCTGTGAAGTAAATCATAGGCAAGGTGTTTTTGCAAGCATTCAAATATATATTGTGATGTATATTTCCTAAGAAGCCTGCACGATATCTACGGTTCACAGTGGGCAAAGGAATACTTTTTCATTGAAAAGTGCAATTTCTGCCCCACTGTGTCTGCCTTTTGCTGCCCTAGCGGTAAATCTTCATCCTTTGTCCTTTGGCATTCAAATTCGCCTGCTAACGCTCAGTTGGGTTAACATGCTGTTAGAAAGCGTTAACAGCGGCGGGGCGAGAGACAGGGACGGCCAGAGAGCGGGGCGAAAGAGAGGGAGTGAGTCAGTGGATGAGTCTTCAAGTAAATCGTGAAATATTTTTATAACAAATACCACTGCTTCGGGCCGCGCTGGCGGCAGACTGAACCGCGTTGTCACACATTCAAAATTTCAACGAACTTCGCTTCGCTGCCGACGTCGACGTCTCCATGCTAAATAAATACAGCGAGTTGACTTCGAATTCGCCGTGCGCTCAGTTGTCGCTTTGTAGCCGTCGCCGGCCGCTCTCTGCTCAGGCTCTCTCGTTTGGGGGAATATTTTCAATGATTTTTCCTCGAAAAGAAGTTTCTAGCAGTTGTAGTTGTAGTCGCCCGTGGGCTTAGATTGTATTTTTATGTCGCTCTTCGTCCGTAAATTTCAATTCATTAGATATTTTAGTGGGTTTTTAGGCAGTTGCAGTTCGCATATTTGCACATTTTAGCACTTATAGCAATACAAATCTCGTCTTTTACTGAATTTTCTCAGTTTTACCATCAGTAATCAAAGTTCTTTCGAACAATTATGGTTTTTCTTAGGAAATGCAACTTACAGAGGATAGCACTATTTCTTTTTGATATCAGTTAGCGATTACGTTATGCCGAATCTTCGTTATTTACTCTTGGCTTTGTGTCTAATTAAACCTTTTCAACTGATATTTAAAATGTATTACAAATATATGTATAATTATTGCAAATTATTCGCCCCTTTATAAGATGAACGAACATTTTAATTCTAAAATGGTAAATTTTATACAAAAACAATGAAGGAGAAGGTTATTTGTATTGTATTATTGAGTAAAAACTCGTTTAAAAATATATGGTTCTCGTTTATTACAAGAACTGTTTCCCCCACAATCTTATCTTAATTTATTGGATTTCACATGTTTGTGGGGTCAAAATGACTGTATTTTTCAATGCTCAATTTGCTTCCGTTTTCGACATGCTCACTCACGCACACACTTGTACGCTTTTGTTGGCAGTGTGTGTGTGCGCGTATGTAAATGCCCCAATGCTTGTGTCAATTTTCCTAGTGATGTAATAGATTTTTTTTAGGTGCGGCTTCTTTTTCCGCCTTCATTCGCTCTGCCATATTCCACACTTTTCATGCTCTTCTTTATTATTATTTTTTTTAGTTTGCCAACGAGGTCAGACAGGCACACATACACGTGCACGTGCATTATGAGCTCACAGACACACACACCCATAAAATCCTATATAAATCGCAGTTTGCAGTTCTCCCTCTCTCTCTCTCTCCCTTTTAAATGCCCTACCTGTCAACGATCGCTGTTGTTGTTACTGTTAAATGCATCTGTTACACTCGTCTTCTTCTTTAAAACGTTACTTCCGGCTTGATCTCTCTCTCGTCTCTTCCTCTCCCTCTCCCTAGCCTCTTTCTACATAAATCAGATGCCCGCATTTTTTTGTTATCGCTAAATTCTAGTGGTATATACATGCATACATAAATATTTCAGTATATCTCTGTTTGTAGTATTACTAAGCCTCGTTTTGCTTCCACGCCCTTTTTATTAACCTATCTAAAATGTGTGCGGCGATCCCAAGATTCCGATTCCGTTACCTATGCAGAAAGATATGTACAAATGTACAAAAATTCATGTTTATCAGGTACAAATGTACAAATGTAGGTACATGTGTCGTCATTACGAATTGACGTACTAGAAAGCACGTCGAAATATAAACAAAAGCGATTATAAATATTACTACGAATTTTAAAATAAAAGGAAATAAACACTTCAGTTGCTTTAATATACTACTTAGGGAAAACCCTTTAAAGATAATATTCTCTTGTATTATTACATATGTATGTATCTACGAACCAGTTCTTCAAATCATAACGTTCTTGAAAACGAAACACCCACTGTAAATTTTTCTATTGTTTTTCTTGTTTAAGGTTGCATTTTTCAAAAACTAGAGCAGAAAACATGGCTTCTCCCCCTCGCACATTTTATTTTTCCCTTTTCCAACCGATTGCAATACGCAAATGATTGATGTAACTTTGTTAGTGCTCGCTTCCTTTGTCTTTAAATTAAGCCCATTAAAATTAATTAAGATATTGACCCACTTCGCTGGCAGTCGTTGAAAACCGCCGGAACAACTAAAAAAAAAAAAATTGTTTCAAGTGCCTGACATTTTTACATTAAAACGACAAGCCACATGACGTCACTTGGATGAGCTTATCGTGTCGTTTTGTTTTTGTTTTATCTGGAAAATGACCAAAAACTGTTGGCAAATAAATAAATTCTTATTCTAAGAAGGAGAAGAGTGAGCAGTAGAGGCAGCCAGAAACTACATAACTCCAAAATATTTCAACAATATATACTAGAATTTTGTATTAATTGTTAAATTGTTAAAGTTTCATTTTTTTTTATTATTTTTACTGAAGGGTAAAAGAGTAAAAGAGAAGTGCTGACTGGGGAAACAAAAGTGTGATAAGGCGATAAGCCACCATCACCAGCGAATTTTTTGACTGATAATCAATTTCAAATTCAAACCATTTGTTTATTTTGAGTCAAAATATTTCAGTTATTTTTCTCTCAGCCCCTTACTCCCTCACTTTTCCTCTCTTTCTCTCTCTCTTTTTGGTTTTGGCTCTGTATTTTTTTTTGTCACTTTACACTTTACTCATCATTTCGTTACTCATCATCATTATCGTCAAACTTTTTTATTGTTGCTTCTTTTTGTGGGCAATTAAAATCAACAGCAAAGCCAAAATAAAAACTAAGAAGAAGAAAATACGCAACGGTAAATCCAACTTGTTTGCGGCGTGCGAGAGAGATGGCCAATGTCTGCTGTGAAAGATTTAAGTCAACTATGAAAACGAAGCTTGAAAAGCAAATGCCCAAAGCAAAATGGCAGACACAGTGGAGATTGGAACTATTAGAATATGCAGAAAAATATTTTAGGAACAATGAGTGAAACTACAGTGATCATTTGGCACACGGACATTATATTTAAAAAATATTTATATATGTATACTTAAACATATATTTTGCTAAGTTAGTTAATTTGTATTTTAACTAAAAAATCAAGCATAGATAAAAACCTTAATTGTTAAAAATTTTTTTTTATTAATGTAATATTATTGTAAATGTGTAAAGTATTGAAAAATTCATTCACAACTATTTCTACTGTACGAATTTAACCTTGTTTTTTTGCCACTTTTTGTTTTATTATTTTCTCAATGATTTTTTTTTTCTTTCTAATTTTGCATATATTCCAAAACAAACAATACAAATTCATTGATTTCGACTTTTACTTTCCTTCGCATAACTGTAAATGTTTTGCGCCTCCGTTTTGTGCGCTTTCTTTGTGGCGTCTTCTTTTAAAGCAGAACACAAGTACAAAAGAGAACCGAAATCTTCGACAGAGAGAGAAATAAGTGTGTCATGCTCATGCTTTTCATTCAGTGTGACCCCTTTTCGAAGAGAAGTGCGTACACACTGAGTAAAAAATTATAAAATGTCCAACATTTTTAATATTTTTTGACGTCAGCTTTCCGCAGATTACAACAAAAAGAATGGTTTTTTATAGTACATATGTAAATGTATATATATTTCTTTAATTGATTAACACGCAAAAAGTTGTGTCCGTACGTATGAAATGAAGCGCAGTAAAAATAAAACAACAAGTAGTTAATCACAGTAGGTTACAAAAGTATTGATTTTTTTCTTCGAAAAACAACTAAAAACGTTGACCCTGACTAGCTTTTATAGTTTTTCTCAAAAGCCAAACATAAATATATTATAATAAACATTTCAATTTTGAAAAAAAACTGTAGCTGCATAGATAAACCTACTTTTCCATAACACTGTTTAATTGTGAAACTCATTGCCAAGGAGCTCGTTTTTATAGTTATGTATGTATTTTTTTATTTGCTGGTCGAACACACGCATTGTGGTTACAGCGAGTTAGCAGTTTAAGCCAAAACGCAATCAATTAGCACATGGTTTATGCCAACAGCAATGCCACTTTAAGTATTTATATATATGTGTGCATATAAATACATATGCACATAGATACCTATATTTTGCTTTTCAAAAACGAACAACGAACACCCCCAAGGTCAGCGATAAAAGCTAATTTCCGTCTGACTTTTTATCCTGTCTCGCCGGACCGTAATCCCTCCGCCTCCCAATGAATCCCTCAACAAACGGTCCGTACTTTACCCTTGGGTCACTTGAACCTTTGCGTTGGTTGGGTGTATTGATTTCATTATCCTGCATTCGGCGTTGTTTCAATAATATGGATGTGTGTATGTGATCACGTGCATAAACCAATTCGAAATACTCTATATTTTGTACAGATTTTCATAACTTTAGAAAGGGTTTAGCCAATTTGGTAAATTTTCTTAAACGATTTCAGTTTTAATCATTTTTTGAATGTTCTTTTATTGTACGGAAAGGAAAAGTATAGATTGTTGGAACAATTATTCATATTTTAGGTCTTTCTACTCTCGATTATAAGGGTATAACGACCCAATAAGGGTATAGCATTAATAAATAGTCTATTATTTTTTTTTTTTACCATTTTTCTAACTATAAAGGGTTTACCCAATTTCATAAATTTTCTTTAATAATTTCAGATTTAATATTTTTTTGAAGTTTTTTATGGTTTTATGGTATGGTATAGATTGTTGGAACAATTTTTTAAGTCTTTCTACTCTTAATTATAAGGGTATAACGGTGCAATTAGGGTATAGCAATAAAATATATTCTATTATTTTTAAATGATTTTTTCTACTTTATAAAGGGTTTTAAAAATTTAGTACTTGCAGTTGCAATGAAAGTTGTATTCTATAATAGTTCGAATTTTAATAATTTTTTGAAGGTTTTTTTATTTCACAGAAGGTATAGATTATGGATACCATTCTTTTTTTTTTTTTAATATTCCAACTCTCGATTGTTATAGGGGTATAACCACTGAAATATATTGCCCTTGTCTGGGGCCTTGAAGTATCTCTCTCTTCTCGCCGATTCTTCATTTCTGTCCCCACTAAATAACGGTTAATCATAACAAATCGACAGCTGTCTCTGGATCCCATATCCCATAGTACGTTCGTTTGTTTTTGTGGAGGACATGTCAACGACTTGGTCTTGTTACTTTTCCTTGCTTTCTTCTTCTTGGCGTCTTCTGTTTTTCTCAGAAGGAGTGGTAAAAAAAAGAGGTAGGAGGGTGGAGAGTTGCCAACGATATACCAGTTCATTGACTTAAGGGCAACCAAAATTTTGGGGTTGTCTTTTATATTTATTGTTATTACTTTTTCCCTATGGGATGTACTGGAATTGCCGGGGACATTTCAATGTGGAGCATGTCGTGAATTTTTCAACACTGGCACGTACTCCCTAGGAATTATTATAAGCGAGTTTTGTATTATTCTTTTTTATCATATTGAGTCATACATTGTGGACTGAGTGCACTGAACAA